TTAACTTGGTATCAAAGGAAATAAATATATTTATTATTACACTAACAACTTTGTCTCGTATTTTATTTTATAATATTTTGAGTTGATTTTTTTTACAGTAAAATTATTTTTAATATTGACAATGTAATGATGTAATTTATGAATTAATTTTATTTTTTACCCAAAAAATTGCTAATTTAAAGAATAGTTGATTTGACAATCTATGTTACATGGACTCTTCAAAAGTAATGAAGTATTCGTGTCGGATACATTGCTCAGACATAGGTATGTAATATGTGTCCGACACTTTTGATTAAACATGTACTTAAAAAACATATCCAATCGTTCAATTATATTATATTATTATTTTAAAATAAATTAAATACTTATATTAAACATCTTATTAGATAAAAATATTATTTTATTCTAAAAAATAAAATAATTAATAAAATTAATATTTAGTCGTGTCTATGTGTCTTTTTAGTTAAAAATTTAACACGTCCAATACATAAATACATGTCTAAACTCAAAACACAAGTTACTAAATCCATGTAACGAGCGAGACCTCATGGCAGAATCACTCATCTCACCGACAATATGTAGAAGTAGCAGTTTTTTAAAGTCATACTTAAAATTCACCATCATGAAATATGTACTAAAAGTTATGATTGTTGAATTAATTTAATCCGATATGCCTATGCGTGACCAATCCAATCTTGAATTTCCTGTTGGGTCCATATTTGAGAACACTACTTTAATAATTTGCCCAGACCCACTTCAAATTCAATTATCTTTATAATGCAACACTTCCGTACACATTATATCAATAATTGGATTTGCCAGCTCATAAACACTTATGGCCCGTTTGGGAAGTGTAGTGTGATGTAGTGTACTGCTCTAGTTTAGAATAGAACAAATGTTTTGTGGTGTGATGTTCTGAAATGGAAACAAAACATGTTTGGAACAAAAATTTGAAGTGAGAATTTTGGAATAGAAATTAATATTTTTTTTTTTGGATGATTAAATTAAATTAATTACAGAGCTTCATTAGTTTGCAAAACAAGAATTACAGAGCTTGATTAGTTGATTTAGAAAAAAAAAAAATTTAAAACAAAACCCATACACACAAGCTAGCAGCTGCAGAGAGAGAGGGGGCAAGCTGGAGAGTTGAGACCCATACACACAAGCAAACCCAAACACAGTGGAACAGCGAAAACCCATACGCACAAGGTAGCTCTCTCTCTTATTGCATAACTATACTTCAAACTAAATATTGACTCCACTGTAACAGGTTTGGAACAGAGTGAGAGCAAAGCTCACATCAAATAAGAGACCCACCCCTCCTCTTGCATCTCTGGTCAAACAATATTGTAAATCAGTATATATATGTTCAAAAAAATGTCTCAAAGAAAGGTGGACCTGACACTTGACCGAAAGATATGGGTTTTGAACAATCTGAAATGAAACCCATTCTTGTAGATTTTGTAGTTTGCAGTTGCAGAGAGGGAGAGAGAGGGCAACTGAGGCTTGTATATTTTGTAATTTGCATTTGCACAGAAAGAGAGCAAGTTCACAGTTTTTTTTGATCTGAAATTAGGGCAAGTTCAGAGTTGAGAACGAGAATAGAGATGGAGGTGATTAGGAGGTTGAAATGATTTGCCGTGAAATCGCCACTGGAAAGCGATTTGGGAATTTTTTTTGATCTGAAATTAGGGCAAGTTCAGAGTTGAGAACGAGACTAGAGATGGAGGCGATTAGGGCAAGTTCAGAGTTGAGAACGAGAATGGGGACGAAGGCGATTGGTTGGGAGGCTGAAAAATTTATTATTATCTTGCTACAATAAAAATAAATGGGCTTGGAACAACATAGAATACCAAATTATTGTTCCAGTTTTTGGGCCAAATATTGGATTTGTTCCTTGGTGTTCCACTACTGTTGAGAACACAACAAAGGTCCAAACAACATGTGTTCTGAAAATGGGTACTGTAGTACTGTAGGGAACACTACAGCACACTGCAGCACACTACCCAAACAGGGCCTTAGCAAGCACCTTTCAATACCCTTTCTCACAGTGTTGGTAATTCAGTGTGTGTATATATAAAAGGAATTAACTTCAGAAAATTAGGGACTTTACAATCAAACATCTTATAATTATGATCAGAAAAAATATACAGTATATACACCGTTTGTTTTGACAAAGCAATAAATTCTTCATCTACCTAACTACCTTGCACATGGAATTGTGGAACATGACCCAACAGTTTTTCTTTCTATAGTTTGGTGAATCAAATAATGCTACATATATTTTGTTTTCCATGCTTTTAATTTTCTGGTATGGCTAAAGTTGGATCCATGTGCAACGTAACCCTAGGTTTGTTTTTAATATCAACATTTAGGAAATATGATATTTGTGATACTATTTTTGTACAAGGACGAAAGGAATTAGCGGGTCGGTGGCTTAACGGTATCCGTCTCTTATTTTTCAAAAGAAGGTCAGGAATTCAAGTCGCAGAAGAGATATTTGTGTGAATACCAACTATAAAAATATATATATAAGAACGAAAGGATTATAGAGTTCAATAAGAACTCTTGTTAGCTTTTAAAAACAACAAAATCTCTTTTTTTTAGGTATTGATTCCAATTACATACTAATTCCCACATTAGGTCTGTTGTATACTCTAATAAAAAAAGTCACCAATTATATCATTTTCCGAACCAATAAACACAACTTTGTTTTATGGATCATGTTAAGAAAAGGGAAAATTACAAAGACATGGACTTTTGATACCAATTTACAAACACATGGAGTCAAAGTCCTTAAATTCCAAAAAAAAAATGGATTCTTCTAAAGTACTGACTTTACGTACAGATACACGGAGTTAAGGTCCTGAAATTTCATAAAAATGATTTTTTCTAAAATTCTGATGTGAATATGAAAAAACATGCAGTATATATATATACAACGCAAATACAATATGAAATCACCATTCGTAGATAAAGGTCATGGTGTCTAGTCCCATGCTTGGCTGATCAATTAACATGCAAGAAGCATGAATCAGCCATTCGTCAACGTCTTGGTCATTTCTTGAACTTTTATGTAGTCGTGAGTTCTTCATTTGTGGTTGGCTCAGATCATCATGTCTTAGTGGTTGAAAAATAGTATTGTGAGTTGTGAGATCATGGAAAATATTAGGTATGCAATTAATATATACTGGTATAGTACTTGGCAATTTATCTCTTTTGGGACCAAAATATTGTTATTTGAGCTTCAATGCTTAACGAAATAAGGCCCACCTGAAATTCAGTCACTGATCATCTTCTGAACTTGAGTCATTGCTCAGAGAGTCTGTTTCATCCTCTAATAAATTTGTTCTAAATCGGGGAAAAAAATCATTAATTTGGTTTCGTAAACGGCTAGCATGCATCTTTCAAACACCCTTTAAAACAATCCTGCTACTTCTTTTACAACTGTGCATGGGTACAGAATTATTGAACCATCGATGTCAGATATATATATCATCTCTATGAATGAACATGGCTTCTTATATTAGAAATCAGTTATATATACAGCTAGGAATCATTTATATGGAGGTTTGTTTAGATATGGTGGTAGAGAATAAGTGAACTCTAAGTCAACAAAATCATTAAATTCTTCATCTACATTGCACATGGAATAGTAGTGTACAACAAGACTCTACACATTTCTTCGTACATTTTGGTGAACTCTCCTTGAATTGCTTTCGGTTTCCTGGTGTGACCGACTAATGTAGGGTCCATGTTAGACCCTAGATTTAAGTTCTTTTGCAGTTCTAAATATTGTTGTTTGAAGTACTATTCACATATATCCAACTTATTGGTTCAAGCTTGTTTTCAACTGTGAGATAATAGTTAATTAAAAAAAACTCTATTATATTACTTTGCTAAACTACATAAAAATGCATGCTCTTTGAAGAGGAACCAAATGCCAATAAATAATTTCAAAAAAGAGAGCATGAAAAGGTTGGGATGTACATGGCAGTTGAGTCACACACAAGAGCCCCTTTGGTTAATGTTTATGAAGCTTAATTGTAATTAGTGAGCCTCGAAATACTTAAATTTTAGACTTAGAGAAAGGCCATTCGATGGGCACTATCATAATTTATCTTGTTAAATAATTATAAGGAAAGTTATATTTTTACACGGTGAGGAATAACGTCGTTACGGTGCGATGATAATGTCATTTCTCACTTGCATAAATGCACTTGGATATATCCTACTTTTCTTGTATAAAGACTATTGAAATGAAAAAAAAGAAAAAAAAGAAAAAAAAGAAAGAGCAAGTGGAACCCTTATTAATGAATTTCGTACTTTTGTGATTTGTCTATATTTCCCTTGCATTAATGGCAGAATCATAATTAAATTCAAGCCTAACAACATTATTAAGTCAAATCAGGCCTATTAAGCGTGATATTTAAATCATCAAATTCTCAGACCCTAAAAGACCAAATGTAAGCAAGTGCGTACCCTCCCCCCTCTCCCCTCTAATTACCACTAAACCCCTAATATATTTTTGCAATGAAAAATGACAAAGAAAGAAAGAAAGAAAAAGGACCAAACTGTAACTCTTACCATATCAGCAGAATAAAAAACGAAATAAAATTCCGATCAATTAATATGCCTTTATCTGATTCTATGAATAACCTTGAGAATATATTAGATTGAGAGAGCTAGGTTAAGGATTTATATATTTTTAAAATAAAATAAATAGATTTAAGAATTCAAAAGTGTCCCATGAAGCATTTTTCGAGTCATGTGAGAGCAATTTGGTGTCAGAGATTAATGCCAATTGCTTCGAAATTTTAGGTGGTTTTTTATAAGAAGGAAAAAAGAAAAAGAAAAAGAAAAAAAACAGACCATTAAAGACTATCAACAAACGCGTAATATTAATAACTGTGGGTATCAAATCTAAATGTGGAAAATGGTTGGTTGTTGAGACGATTTAATGTAGATCTAACTGAAAGTCCCTTGATTGTGTGCGTATATAATACCCTTGTTGTATTAGTGAGGAGCTCAGGAACAAGTTCACACAGTTCTTGATACACATTCTTTGAAGATGACAGGTGGTTCAATGAGAGTTTGTTTGTTATCATTGCTTTGCTTTCATGTTCTTGTGGTGAGTGTCGTGGTTGCCAGAGATGTGGCGAGTGTGAGGCATGACGATGAGGAAGAGAAGTTGTTGGGTGTTGGTAAGGGAGGTGGATTTGGAGGTGGAGCTGGCGGCGGCGGAGGATTTGGAGGTGGTGCTGGCGGCGGCGGTGGATTTGGAGGTGGAGCTGGCGGTGGAGTAGGCGGCGGTGGTGGATTTGGAGGTGGAGCTGGCGGTGGAGTAGGCGGCGGTGGTGGATTTGGAGGTGGAGCTGGTGGCGGCGGTGGTGCTGGTGGAGGTGGTGGATTTGGGAAAGGTGGTGGTGTTGGAGGTGGCATTGGAAAGGGTGGAGGAGCTGGTGGTGGCTTTGGAAAGGGTGGAGGAGCCGGTGGTGGTTTTGGAAAGGGTGGAGGAGCCGGTGGGGGCATTGGAAAGGGTGGAGGAGCCGGTGGGGGTTTTGGAAAGGGTGGAGGAGCCGGTGGGGGTTTTGGAAAGGGTGGAGGAGCCGGTGGTGGCATTGGAAAGGGTGGAGGAGCCGGTGGTGGCTTTGGAAAGGGAGGAGGAGGTGGTGGTGGCATTGGAAAGGGTGGTGGAGCCGGTGGTGGTTATGGAAAGGGTGGAGGAGCCGGTGGTGGCTTTGGAAAGGGAGGAGGAGGAGGTGGTGGCATTGGAAAGGGTGGAGGAGCCGGTGGTGGTTATGGAAAGGGTGGAGGAGCAGGTGGTGGCTTTGGAAAGGGTGGAGGGGCAGGTGGTGGCTTTGGAAAGGGCGGTGGAGCTGGTGGTGGGTACGGTAAGGGTGGCGGAGCTGGAGGTGGATTTGGCAAGGGTGGCGGAGTAGGGGGAGGGGTTGGTGGAGGCATTGGTAAGGGTGGTGGTGTCGGTGGAGGAATCGGAAAAGGTGGTGGTGCCGGTGGAGGATTCGGAAAAGGTGGTGGCATCGGGGGAGGAGCTGGAGGTGGGTTTGGAAAAGGGGGTGGAGTAGGTGGCGGTGCTGGCGGAGGATTTGGAAAAGGTGGTGGAATTGGAGGAGGATCAGGAGGTGGATTTGGTGGTGGAGTAGGAGGAGGTTCTGGAGGTGGAGGAGGTTCTGGTGGTGGATTCGGGTTCGGTGGAGGAGCTGGTGGAGGCGGAGGTGGTGGCGGTGGATTTGGTGGCGGAGGTGGTGGTGGAATTGGACATCACTAAGTAGCACGTTGCATGCTATTTAAAATCTTGTAATCCGTAAACATGCATGTATTGCTATAATTTACTTCATGTATGATTTTTCTCAAACTTATTATTCAATAATAGTGGTAATATATGTATATTTTTTTTCGGAAAATCAATTAAGAACTTGTTATATCAATCTTTTTCACTTCCAAGTCAATCCCCAAAAAAAAAAAAAACCAGATGGAGAGAGAAACTTTAAATGAAATGAATTAATGTAACCAAAACTCAATCTCTTTCACTTCAAAATCAGTACAAGGATGAGTCCTAATCACAATCTATTGGTTCAAGTTTGTGGTAGATGCAGTTCACAAAATTAATATTGTAATAGTTATGTTATCATAACCTTGACTATAGTTTTCAATTATGAGATAATAATTGACAAGACTCTGTTCTGTCTGTGTGTGTATTATATTTAAAAGAGTCTAGTATAGTATTAAAAAATAATTAGACGAGTTGATATAGTCTCTCCTTTCTCATAAAGCAGATCAGGGTTCTATTCCGGCATTTTTTAGTATGTAAGTATTTACCTTTTAAAAAAAAACTTGCATATTAACTTTTCTTTTTCTTTTTTTCTTCCTAAATTCGTATGAACTTTTCTAACTTTTCTAAAATACTTGAAACTACTTTAAGTTTCTTCAATTCTTAAAGAAAATAAAAAAAAATTGTAACGAGCAAGCTTTGGTTGAAATTTATGAAGCTTAATGGTATTTAACAAGCGTTGGAATGGTTAAAGTTTATAGGTATGAGAAGGCCAATCATACTCTCACTATCAGAATTTACTTTGCTAAACACCTTAAGGGTCCTTTTGACAACTTCTTTTACTTTGAACTTTTGTTTTAATCAAAAGTAAAAATTATTGTTTTTGTATTTTCTTTTCAATCTGAAATAAATAATAATATAGTGATTGAAAGTATGTTTGGTAATGTAAAATATTTTTAATAGTAAAAATATGTGTTTGATTATTTAAAAAAGGTCATTTGTTATCACCAAGTACTATAATTCAGTAATTCAGTGTACTTTCTCATATTTCGAAATAAAAGTATTGTTCAAATCGCATAAAAAACTACTAAACAAATACGTTTCAAGCAATAAATATTTTTTTGTTTCAGTACACTACCCACAACGCAACAAACCTTCAAAAGCGAAAATCATAATTTTAAATTCAAACTTATCTAACAATAAATAAACATTCTGCTTATCTTTTAGGTCTGAATTATTGATTCAAAAATCAGTTTCGGTCTAATTATAATTAAAAAAATATGCTTTGTAGGCTGACTCTGCTAACAAAGTATCCAGAGCCCTTGCTATTATCTACCAAAACCAGCAGAATCCTAATTAAATTCAAGCATAACTTCAAAATCTAAGTCAAGCATATTAATTTCCGCCAAAAAAAAAAAAAAAAAAATCAAGCCTAATAAGAGATTTGAATCATCAAATTCTCAGACCCTAAAAGACCAACGGTAACTTTGACATGCATTATAAGCAGATTAAAAAATGAAATCATAACTACTATCAGTTTATGCTTTTATTTGATTAATTATATATAAGAATAAACCATGAGAATCTTAGATTGAGAGAGTATGTAGGACATAATTTAGCATTTTTTTAATTAGGTTCATTTATTTATTTTATATTTTTTTAGAGAGAATTTTATTTTAGATAGTTGTTTTCTTTATATTTTTAGTTTACTTAAATCAATTAGTTTCTATTTATTATTAGTTTCCTTTATAGTTTTAGAATTTTATTTATTATAAATATAATGTACTATGAGAGCAAAATATTAAAAATTAATTTTATCAACAAAATATTATATTCCTTTGGAATTTTACTTTCTTTGTGGATTCGCTTCTGTTACTTAGAGAGTTAAATGATTTAAATTTTGAACAAATTAAACTAAATATATTTGAGAAAGTACTACTGATTCGAAAAATGAGAAGGTAAAACACATAATCATAAAGCTACAACATAAGTATATATAGTCTAAATTTATTAAAAGATTTACTGAAAGTATAATCACATTTCAAAGTGGAAAAGCTAACCAACTACAACTAGTTAGTGCCAATGGATCAAATAGACTAAATTTGTGTTTGATTGCATACAAATAATGTCTTAAAAAAAAAAAAAAAAAATAGTTTGTACCAATTCCATCCATGCAACCACATAATGAATTTTAAAGGAATGATATCATGTGAACCTCGGATAAAGATAAGATATCTATTGGTGGTTATGATGTCGATCGGCATTACTTAATTGGCTTAAATTTATACCACTTGAGTTAGGTTGAATGCAGAAGCCACATTGGCTTTTATACTAAAGTTCTAATAATTCTAAAAGTGCCCCCACTGAATCCCTAAAATAATTTACAAAAGTCCTTAAAAAAACTTTCAAAATTGAAAAATACCTCAATTTTTTTTTAACTTATTGTCCACAAAATTTTCAAAATTAAAAAATACCTTTTTTTCCTCAACTCAGTCTCACAATATTTTGAAAAATCAAAATTTAGATAGACCCCTCATTTGTTATGTATTAATTTTGGTTCAAAATTTCTTATTAAATTATTATTAATGATCACCCCTTGGAAGTAAATTCTTGGCTTTGTGGACGGCTAGTTATGGTCTTTGCATGTAAGGTTGCAAATGAACCGAGCCGTTCATTAACAGTTCGGGTTCGGCTCGTTAAAAGTTCTGTTCGGACTCGTTCGTTTAGTAAACGAGCCGAGTTCGAGCTTAAATTTTAGGCTCGTTTAGTAAATAAGCCGAGCTTGAACAATGTTAAGCTCGGGTTCTAAGCTCGTAAGCAAGCTTGTTTACATAAATATATATTAAAAATATATATAATTATATTTTAAAACTAGCCCATATATATAATTTTAGGCCCAAATTCATAAAAGTATATTTTCATTAGTCCATTTAGTATTTGGGCATCTAAAAGCCCATCTAATTAAGTAGCCCATTTAGTATTTGGCCATCTAAAAGCCCATCTAATTAAGTAGCCCACAAACCAATCATAGATTCATCTGAGCCATTTGATTGTAACTTATCTCATTTTTAGGGGTTAAGAAACCCTAAAAGTAGCCGCATGATGTTGCAACGGCTTCTCCAATCCAATTGGGGGCAACGAAAATCTAGTCAGTGCAACATCCCCTCTACTCCTCAGGCGGTTGTCTTCTACTCCTCAGGCAACATCAGGTTAGGTCTATATTCCCCCCCCCCCCCTCCCCTCCCCTCCCCTCCCCCTCTCTCTCCCTTTCTCTCGTTTAGTATTATTCATAAATCTGATAAATCAAACATTCCTTAACTTGAAGCTAGTGAAAGATGTAATGACCCTAAAATATACCAAAAGAATAATAATAATATAGCTAAAATTTCGGCATGACCTCCGCTAAAAAAGTCCCTCTACGACCTGTTAAAATACAAAAAAAAAGATGCAATGGCCTCACTAGGCCTTAAAAATAACCTATCATGTCCCAACGCACAATACAGATATTATGTTACATTCCTAAAATGGTTACATACATATGAAATGTCCTCTTCCTCAATCTCATCCAAACAAGGAGTACACTTTAGTTACATCAAGTTACAGTCCATAAAATGTAGCTAAAATTTAATAGTTCATACCTTACAACATTATGCTAATTAAACTAAAGTTTCACAAGATAGATAATATTACATTCACAAAATATTAGAGTTCTAATACAAAAGATAGCAAAATAAAATAGATCCCCAAGCTCGTCTAAACTCGTGGTGGATCGTCGTCCGCTACCTTTTTTCCATGTCCTGAAAAAAATGTTAAAAATAATGGGGTGAGCATAAGCTCAGTAGAAAGTGTCTAAGACACTCTTCTTATATTCCTGTGAATCCATACAATGAATAGATAAAAGTGAACGGGATCATACCATAGGAAAACGCACATTCTCAAACATAATAACAAGTATGTAACAAATATCAACCAATCACAAGTTTACGACAATGTCATGAAGTGCAATGTTATGCAAATGTCACTCCCCATTTTCCGAAACATTTCCGTTTCAACTTCCAAACCGTTAATGTAATCCGACCTAAGGCACCTCCAAGGCGTCACAAATGGAGGGTTGACTAACTATCCACAACCACAAGGCACTTCCAAGGCGTTGCATCCGACCTAGTTAGTTCAACCATACTCCCTTTTAGACTACACTAACAACACGGACCGCTAGGCGCTTCCTAGGTGTCCGATTTTCGCAAATTTCTTTGAATTTTTTTTTTTTCCCAAGAACAAATTCATTTATTTTAAATCATTTTTTCCCCCTTTTTCTTTCCTAATGGATGCATGAATGCTTCATGCTTCATTTCATCAATTCAACCATAAAGTTCCCACATACTTTTTCAAATAAATTAATAAATTACCAAAAATACACAACTCATATTCTCATTCCACATTTTGCTAGCAATGTAAATATACAATTCACAAATTTATTTATTTTCCTAATTATAACATAAATTTTCATAGCAATTGATATCATGAAACAAAATAACACTAAGTATGCTTCTTTACAAATTGAAAATTATCATACTAATAAGCCCAATTAACACATAACACACATTTATCACCATAATTATAAATAATCCTAACAAACATAATCACAAAAATTAAAATCAAGCATGCTTCAAGTCAAATTAAAGGTGAAAATCTACAAGAAATCTAAGAAATAGTGGATTAGAGTACCCTTACCTTAAATTTGATTAAAACCCTCAATTTAAGTCCAAGAACCTTAGAATTTCGAAATCCTTAGAGTGCACCAAAACTGAAATTGTTGGTACTCACACGTAAATCTCGCCGTGCTCTTCGATTTGCCACAAACGGCACTCAAAAATTCCAAGAATGGCAGGAGGAATCAAAGCTTAAAATTGTAAAAGAAAAAAAAGAAAATGAAGATGAAGCTACTGGAGTCGGACGAGAGAGAAAGATACGCAGAGAGAGCAAATGCAGTCTAGTCAAAGGCCATTAAGCCCTTTTTTTTGTTTAACATAATGGTAGGGCCCATTAATTTTATTTCTTTTAACATTAAATATATATACATATATATATATATCACAAACATTACATTCTCCCCAACTTTAAAAGATTTCGTCC